CCATCCTCCCACCCCCCTCCCCTCTAGAACCCTCAGTTTGTTTTTCAGAGTCCTTCGTCTCTCATGGTTCGTCTCCCCCTCCGATTTCCCCCCCTTCATTCTTCACCTCCTGCTATTTTCTTTTTTTTTTTTCTTAACATATATTGCATTATTTGGTTCAGAGGTACAGATCTGAGATTCAACAGTCTTGCACCATTCACAGCGCTTACCAGAGCACATACCCTCCCCAGTGTCTATCACCCAGTCACCCCCTCCCTCCCACTCCCCACCACTCCAGCAACCCTCAGTTTGTTTCCTGAGATTAAGAGAGCATTCATCTTTTATCAGGGAAGGCTGTGAGTGGGCTCACACGAGCTCCGGTAGCTCTGGGGAAGCTTGGTACAGAAGGCTAGATTTAGCTGAGTTCATGGCACTGGTGAATACCGGGCTTTTGCTGGGGCCCCTGGTAAATAGCTCTTACTCTCCGCCGTTGTAGATTGCATTGGCCCCCTATCAGCACTTGGAAGAAGACATGAAGAGTCTGAAGCAGGTGTTAGAGATGAAGAATCAGCAAATACACCAGCAGGAAAAGAAGATTATTGAGCTGGAAAAACTGGTGAGTCGGCCTGCCTCATTGGGAGAGCCCCAGTAAGCTGAAGGATATACCTTACTGTCATCACGGACGTCTTCATTCACTGCATCCGGAGGGTGCGCCCTTCCCTGTCCATTGCTTACACCTGAGCAGGAAATGCCATAGCTGAGTCTCGAGATCTTTCTTAGGGAGCCAGGAATTCTGATAAGGAATCCGAGGTGGCGAGCCCTCCTGACTGCCTGCCTCCATCCCCCATCCGTCACTCCTCCCCTGGGGGACTGCTGCTTCCTCCCTCCTCCCTGCGGGGGATGGGTGCTGAGCCAGCATCCGGGGAGCATCACTGAGGTGTGTGCCAGGCACTGCGCAGAGCACTTCACGTGTTTGTTCTTTAACCCCCGACAGCAATCCACTGGAGCAGGTGTACCGGTCAGAGGCTCCTTTCATAGATTTAGGCACAGATGGAGGCCTGGGCAGAGAGCGTAGCCCACCCAGAGCCCGCTGATTAGTGGATGGGACTCCAGGCCCAGGGCTCCCGAGGCGTGCTCTCATAACCCGCTCTCATAACCTCCCTCCCCTTCAACCCGGCTTCCCTTCAACCCGGCTTCCCCAGAACTAGCAAAGGTGCCCTTTGGGGAAACAGAGCACCCCCGAGCTCACTCCCCTCCCCTGCAGGCACAAGGGTCCTGCAAGGGCTGGAGCAGGAGACAGTCATCCTGAGTTGCTAGCAGAGCAGTGTGCTTCCAAGGAGACACCATCTCGATGGGGAGGCTGGTGTAAGGGTCCCAGATAGACTTTCTTGCTTTTTTACTGTTACATTTAAAATAAACGTTGATGCTATAAAAAGCAAAGACATGCCTTATAAGAAATTATAAGATAAACAAAAACAAGAAAGTTAGAAGATATTTCCAAGTGCTGTTAGCACTTCCCAGAGTTTTTCCTCGGTACCGTGGACGTGCCCCACACACGGAGACCTTTGTGTCCTGCTTTCTTCCAGCCAGCGGCTCTTTAACTTGCCATCTCAGTAACTGATCATCTCATCTACCTTGTAAAGTTCCCTGCCTGTGTCTGAAATATCCCTTGAAGCTGGTTTTCCCAAGCCAGGAGCTGGTCTAGATGCACCCGTTGTATTCGGTTGTCATGTCCTCTCTTTATCTAGCACCTCCGCTCCCTGCGGACGTCTCATACTGCAGGTGCTCATCAGGTGGGATGGGGGCAGACTGTAGTGTGACTGTTGGTAAGCAGCATCCTGGGCCATGGTGACCATGGGGCACCTCCCTGCCATGCAGCCCAGCCCACATAAGGACTGACAACCGTCCTCCTCCAGGCTGGGCCATCTGCATTCAGTTGTCTGCTCACCCACAAACTTTAGGGTTTATTTGGCTGTTTTTAGCCATGTTCCAGGCATTCTGCAGCCACGCATGACTTCTCCTTCCAGAAACCTTTCTAGGCATAAAGAAAGAACTGATGTAATCACTTCCCATTTCCTGGGAGCAAAGATGAAGGTTGTAGGGAAGTTTGTGGAACAGAGCTCAGCCCTTTGGCTCTGACTCCTAGTCCTAGTCATGGAAGGGCGACAGTTATCCTCGAAGATTAACAACCCAACAGTGAATTTGTCATTTTCTCTTCAAAAAATAATTTATTTCTGAATTTATCTTAGAATGGAACTGTACTTCTGCAAGGCCCTACGGGACACACGGACAGAGGAAAAGGCATAAATTGTGGGGGAATAACAACCATGGAAAATGTTGTTTTCGGATCATGTACCAAGCCCGTCTCAGGCTTTGGGTTCCTGGCTGCCCATACCCTCAGAAGGAAAAAAATGTGTCCACATTACTTCTATTTCTACCCCTCCGTTAATTCAGAACGTCATATTGTGCATGCATGCTGGGGCCGGGAATGCCAATGCAGCGCAGCTGACCATCAGGAAGAACCAGGGGACCCATCAGCCAAACTAGGTCTTGGTGGTGTTCCCTTATCTCTGACAGCGTATCTCTGACTGCAGGGACACACACTGTAAGAAATGTATTCGTGGGGCGCATGGATGGCTCAGTTGGTTAAGTGTCTGCCTTCAGCTCAGGTCATGATCCCGGGGTCCTGGGATCGAGTCCTGATCAAGCCTGCTTCTCCCTCTGCCTCTGCCCCTCCCCCGGCTTATGCTCTCTCTCTCTCTCTCTCTCTCTCAAATAAATAAATAAAATCTTTAAAAAAAAGTATTCTACACAGGAACCTGATGTATATACACACACACACATATAATATATGGAAAAACATATCTAAAATATGACTAACAATATACTTTTACTATATACAGTGCACTCTGGTATTTTCTGTTCTGTTTCATTTTGTTTAAAAAAGAAATGCTACCTACATCTCTCTAACTTGATTTTACAACCCACTAATGCATTGCAAACTGCAGTTTGCAAAGCACTGTTCTTTTTTTTTAAGATTTTATTTATTTGAGAGAAAGAGCGCGAGTGTGTGAGTGGGGGAGGGGCAGAGGGGGACGTGCAAGCAGACTCTGCAACGAGCATGCGGAGCCTGACACGGGGCTCCATCTCAGGACCCTGGGATCATGACCTGAGCCAAAATCGAGAATTGGACACCCAACCCACTGAGCCACCCAGGTGCCCCGCAAAGCACTGTTCTTGATGATCCTCCAAAGCCCAGAAGCCAAGGGCTCTGGTCTTCTACCTTTGTCATGGCCTTGCTGAGAACCTCTTAACCCTGCATCCTTTATAGGCAGAAAAGAACATTGTCCTAGAAGAAAAGATCCAAGTTCTCCAGCAGCAGAATGAAGACCTCAAAGCAAGGATTGACCAGAACACCGTTGTCACAAGGTAGGTGGGCCTGGGTGTCTAAGCTTAACGAGGCACATGTCACCTACAAAGTGGCTTTGCTCTTGAGCTCGTTGGAGGGCTCTGTTTTGGTTCCAGCATCCACTTTATCTCATTCCTCTGAGCTGTGAGGCTTCCTCACAGGCTCTTGGCATGTCGCATAGGGAAAGAAGAATAAAACATGCCATGGGGACCACAGAGCCTGTCTGCTGGCTCTGCATTTCAGTGGTCCCCCCCTTGGGGGAAATGAGTGAAACTGGCAGAAGTGCAAAGCAGAGGTCTCCAGTACAGCTGGGAGATGGAGGGGGTTATTTCTGGGGAGTTTGGAGAGGGCCACCTGCTGGGTATTCCCAGGCGAAAGAGAAAAACCACGTGAGCACCATTAGCTCCCCGGCGGAGAGCCAGGTAGGGCCCTCCGCTGCCGAGCTGTGGTCCTGGGCCAGCCTGGCCATGGCAATGGGAAAGGTGTGGGGTGACCAAGCCAGTGAAGCCGCGCAGCCAAATTCAGCTGCTCTGAGTAACACCGTTCCCATCTCTGTCCCCTGCTCTGTGATGCTCCAACCTTCAAAGAAGGATGCAGTGGTCCTCCACTCTGCTGTCAGAGTGGAGTAAAGCAGGGTTTGGGCTGGATCAGCCAGCTGGAGCTTACAGGCGGGCCTCGGAGCTACTGTGGTTTCAGTTCCAGACCACCGCAATAAAGCAAGTGTCGCAGTGAAGCAATCCAGTGAATTTTGCCCAAATGAATGGTTTCCCAGTACATCTAAAAGTCACGTTTACACTATCCTATAGTCTACTAAGTGTGAAACACCATTATGTCTAAAAAAGCGACGTACATACCTTAATTTAAAAATACTTTATTGCTAGGGGTGCCTGGGTAGCTCAGTCGGTTAAGCGTCTGCCTTCGGCTCAGGTCATGACCCCAGGGTCCTGGGATCGAGTCCTGCATCAGGCTCCATGCTCAGCGCGGAGCCCGCTTCTCCCTGCTTGCTGCTCTCCCTGCTTGTGCTTTCCTTCTCTCTCTCTCTCTCTGACAAATATATAAAATCTTTAAAAAAGTAAAAATACTTCATTGCTGAAAAATGCAAACCATCATCTAAACTTTCAGCGAGTCGTAATCTTTTTGCCGGTGGAGGGTCTTGGCTCACTGTCAATGGCTGCTGACTGATCAGATTGGGGGTTGCTGAAGGCTGGAGAAGTCTGTGCCAGTTTCTTAAAACAACAACGAAGTTTGCTACATCGATTGACTCTTCCTTTCATGAATGATTTCTCTGTAGTGTGTGATGCTGTTTGATAGCATTTCATCCACAGTCGAACTTCTTTCAAAACTGGAGTCAGTCCTCTCAAACCCTGCTGCTGCTTTGTCAGCTAAGTTGATGTCATATTCTAAATCCTTTGGGGTCATTTCAATAGTCTTCATGGTGTCTTCACCAGCAGAATCCATCTCAAGAATCCACTTTCTTGGCTCATCCTTGAGAAGCAGCTCCTCAACCGTTCAAGTTGGATCATTGGATTGCAGCAATGCGGTCCCATCTTCAGGCCCCACTTCTATGTCCAGTTCTCTTGCTGTTTCCACCACCTCTGCAGTGACTGCCCCCACTGATGTCCTGAACCCCTCCAAGTACTCCGTGAGGGTGGGAACCAACCTCTCCCAAACTCCTGTGAATGTGGAGACTTTGACCTCTTCCCATGAATTATGAATGTTCTTAATGGCATCTGGAGTGGTGAATTCTTTCCAGAAGGTTTTCAATTGTCCAGCTCCATCAGAGGAATCACTCTCTATGGCGGCTATAGGCTTACAAAATGTGTTTCTTAGAGAATAAGACTTGGAAGTCAAGATGACTCCGTGATCCAGGGGCTGCAGAATGGATGCTCTGTCAGCAGGCATGAAAACAACATTCATCTGGTCCGTCTCCATCAGAGCTCCTGGAGGACCGGGTGCATGGTCAGTGCGCAGTAATATTTAGATAGGAATCGTTTTTCTCAGCAGCAGGTCTCAACAGTGGGCTTCCAATATTCGGTGAACCATGTTGTAAACAGACATGCTGTCATCCGGGCTTTGTCGTTCCACGTACAGAGCACAGGCAGAGTAGGCTGAGCATCGTTCTGAAGGGCCCTAGGATTTCCAGAACGGTCAGTGAGCACTGGCTTCAACTGAGGTCACCAGCTGCGTTAGCCCCTGACAGGACAGTCAGCCTGGCCTTTGAAGCTCTGAAGCCGGGTATTGACTTCTCCTCTGGAGCTGTGTAAGTCCTCGATGGCATCTTCTTCCAGTAGAAGGCTGTCTTGTCTACACTGAAAACCTGCTGTGGAGTGTAGCCACCTTCATTGCTATCGTAGCTGGACCTTCTGGAGAACTTGCTGCAGCTTCTCCACCAGCCCTCGCAGCTTCACCTTGTGCTTTCTGTTGTGGAGCTGGCTTCTTTCCCTCAACCTCATGAACCCTCTGCCGCTTCAGATTTTCCTTCTGCAGCCTCCTCACCTCTCTCAGCCCTCACAGAATTACAGAGAGCTAGCTAGGGCCTAGCTCTGGATTAGGCTTCGGCTTAAGGGAATGCTGGGGCTGGTTTGCACTTCTCTCCAGACCACTCGAACTTTCTCCACCTCAGCATTAAGGCTGTTTGTCTTTCTTATCATTCATGTGTTCACTGGAGTGGCACTTTTAATGTCCTCGAAGAACCTTTCCTTCGCATTCCCACCTTGGCTGTCAGCCCATCAAGGCTTCACCATGACTTTCTCACTAAGCTCTGGTTTAGAGTGGGAGGTGTGCAACTCTCCCTTTCATTTGAACACTTAGAGGCCACCGTGGGGTTATTCACTGGTCTGACTTCAATATTGTTGTGTCTCAGGAAATAGGGAGACACCCAAGGAGAGGGAGAGCGATGGGGAAAGCCTGGTCGACAGAGCGGTCAGAACACACACAACATTAATTGGTTAAGTTTGCGATCTCATACGGGCACGGTCTGTGGTACCCCAAAACAATTACAATAGCGACATCAAAGATCACCGATCACAGATCAGCATAACAAATATAATAATAATGAAAAAGTTTGAAATATTGCAAAAATTACCAGACTGTGACGCAGAGACGTGAAGTGAGCAAAGGCCGTTGGAAATGTGGCGTTTGAGGGCTGCCACAAACCTTCAACTTAGAAAAAACACAATACCTGCCAAGTGCAGCCAAGTGAAGCATAATACAATGAGGCATGCCTGCATTTCATCCAGGAGGACAGAGCCCTCTCCGTGAGACCCACGCCTGCGCCCTGGCCCACTACTCAACTGTACTCCTATTGGATCTGCCTGTGTCACCCTGTGATGCACACACTTGTGCACACACGCACACTCACATGCATACTTGTGCTTCCTGTCACACATGTGCCCATTCGTGTGCCCGCTCCCAGACTTGCAGTCAGTGAGCTCCCTCGAATGCACGCACACTCTTGCGTGCAGCCCCCTCCCAGGTCACACGCATGTACTTGCACACATTCACACACATTGCCTCCGCAACTGAACTTGGGGTGCCGCAGTTCGTTCCCACCCCAGAGGCTCACAGGAGAGACTGTGCAGGGGCAGTAGGTCCATCACGCCCCTCCCCCAGGGGGAGCTGGAGCCTCTGCTCAACCTGAGCCACTACACGTCCCCGGGAAATCACAAAGGCACCCTGGTCCAAAGAGCAAGTCCAGGCTTTATCCAAGTGAGCTGGCTTCCCGGGCTAGGTCCATCCAGCTACAAAATGCAACAAAGCGAGCAACTCACACTTCCTGACAGACGGCACAGGATGCCTTGATTCATTTTTCATTTAGCATCCCTTCTCAACAAACATTAACCGAGCATCTGTTATGTGCCAGACACCAGGCTGGATGCTGAGGATTCAAAGAAGGCTCTGGTCCGTGTCCCCGAGGGCTCTCCGACCAGCCGGCGGGCAGATGCACAGATCAGCATTTGCAGCAGGGGAAGGCAGTTGCTACCACGGAGCCCCGAGCCAGGGGCAGGGAGGCCCGGAGGGTCCTTTGGCTGATGGCACTGTCCCTGTGCTGTCCTTAGTGTTGGTCGCCACTCTCTCTGAGCCTCCTGGGTGGCACACCCACCCCAGCTCCCCACTTCCCCCCTTTCCTCTTCTGCCTTCAGCATTTGCTCTGTCCAGTGGACAACTAGCACCTCCCCTGACCGGGCAGAGGGACTGGGAGATGAATGGGGACGGATGTGTCCGTGGGACAAGTGGAAATCACGTTTCAGCCCATGGCTCTTGGTCACCGTGGTCCCACTTGTCCCTGTCCTCCCGCAGGCGCAACCGCCTCCTCCCGTGCCCCAAGCCCACGGGCAGGGTGGATCTCACGTTCAGTGCCTCCCCGCAGGATTGCTGACTGTTTCTTGTTCTCCTCATGCAGACAACTGTCGGAGGAAAATGCTAATCTGCAGGAATATGTCGAGAAAGAAACCCAGGAGAAGAAGAGATTGAGCCGAACCAACGAAGAGCTGCTTTGGAAGCTCCAAACTGGGGACCCAACCAGCCCGGTTAAACTCTCCCCCACGTCCCCTGTTTACCGCGGCTCCTCCTCGGGGCCCTCCTCTCCCGCCAGAGTCAGCACAACGCCCAGATGACGCCGCACCACGCAGCCTGCGGGAGCCCTGGCTCCCGTCCACGTCCAGCCGGTGGTTCCACCCGGAGGCAGTCAGGACCAGGGGCCGGCCCGCGGCTGGCCCTGCGCGCATGCTCAGTAGCTGCCTAGCTGCATCCTAAGCAAAGTCCTCTTCTGATCCTCATATAAGACTGTCCCGGTGTTGCACTTAGGAAAGTGTAAACGGTAGTGTCTGATGTGCAAACGTTTGACCGTAGGTAGAGCCAAAAGAAAGAAAGAAACTCCAACTGTTCTTGAGCAATGAACTTTCACTGCAGAATTTCAGGTTAGTTACAAGTAGCTCAGTTTTGAATATACATTGAATAATCATTGTGTACTGCACCGATATGTGTGTATATTTAGATACACGTATATACACATGCAGTGGTTCTGAATTGCATTTTTTATAACATGAAGTGCTGACATATTTTGGTGAAGGTCAGCAGTTTTCTAACTTGTGCCTAAGAATTATTGGGATATGAAAATGCATTTCTATCTAGCTTCCCAGGAATATTTCTACCCAAAATAGAAAAAGGAAAAAAAAAAAAAAGATACAGAGAAGAAGCGCCTTTCAACCTACCACCAAGTGGTACTCTAACACAAACACCAGCGATTTGTGAACGGTAACTGCCTTCGGAACAGTCAGCTTCTTAGTCAACATGATGTGAGGTCACTATTATTCCATTCGCAAGTTTTAATTATTAATACTCCTGTCGTGAGTGCCTAAGGGATAGCAGTGGGAAACCCTGAGGGGTTTAGCAGTTTTGCAGATGATACTCATGACAGTGAATCATCTACAGTCTTGTAAACACACGTTTTGCTTTTTTTCCTAAGTGGCATCTTGGAATCCGTCATTAAGCTACTGCACCCTCGGGAAAATACGGAGGAGCATGACCTTCTGGAGTGAGGGTGAGGATGACCTTGGAGTTGGCCAAGACCATCCGCGCTCCGTCCTCCAGAAGGCAAATTGCTGATAGGATCTGTATTTTGACGGAGCAGAGTAGGAAAATGTCCTCTGGCAGCCCCATGTGGTGTGTCTGATGCAATTCTCTAAATGGTCAACCCACCAAAAGATGACCCGCAGGCCCCCATTTCATAGGCAACCAACCTCCCAGCAGTTTGGTTCTATAACTCAACCCCATCACTGTACACTGAGATGGCTCAGGGGTTCTAGCAGGGGCTTCCAGAATGCCGACTCTTCCATCCTGGGGGATCCATTCCAAGCTGTGCTCGACCATCACATGACCTCCCACAAAAGCCAGGCGTATTTTCTGCCCGATGACCAAGCTGTCCCACAGCCACCAGCGGTCCCTTCTTAGGCCCAGGAGGTTCTTCCGGATGGAAGAGCCCTACGGAACGGCCAGCCAGCGGTCCCTGGCTCCTGGACTGGCATTTGTATCGGAAACGGTAGACGTAGAATGTGAACAAACGCTCCCCCCGTAGTGCTGTGGAACGGTAGGAGCATGACACACAAAAAAAGACGTAGTTTTAACAGTTGATACGGTGACATTAATGATGCCTTTGTTTCCTGTTTGTGACAAAGACCCTGCACTTTCTGCCGACGGCCCCTCAGAATGGTCCTGAGCACAGGACTGCCTCTGAGCCGGCCCGAGGCAAGCAGACTCATGCAGGGATGCTCCGTGCGCCAGAGCCACGGAGCCAGGAGGAAATGGCCCGCAGAAGGGGCCGCCTTGCCCGGGACCCTGCCTGCTCACCACACGTGCGGCCGGCCTGAAGACAGGCCTGGTCTGTGCTCCTTGTGGGAGTCAAGGTTGGGCTTGTCGGCCTCAGGGACATCTCACTTCTAGCAAACCTCCAAGGGTCTTTGCCCATCCTCGGGACATACACAGAAGATCCCCATTGAAGAAACATGTCTTTTTTCCTTTAGCGGCTCTGCATGATGTTGTGATATTGAGTTGGGCATTCCATTAGAGTAGATCATGCCACGTTGACTAAATACACAATATTTATTCTATTAGCAGGCACCACCTGCAAAAACGGTCGTTCGGTGGTAGCTCGGCTCCGCCCGTTAGGAACCGCTTCCATAAGGACACCTGCTAAATGCGTTACACAGCAATACAGATGTCAGTGTTACGTTAGAATGTGCTACAGTGTGTTAGCCTATTGCAGTCAAAGTCGTAGTGATGTTAGAACTAAGTAACCCCTCGCTAGGTGGACTAAAGCTTTGCCCTCACCAGCCTTGCCCTTGGGTACTTGAGCTAATTCCCACATTGCCCTGGCTTTGTTCCTTCATCATGGACACCCACCACGTGTTGCTCCTATCCTGAAACGTGGGGGATGGCAGCCGCTGTGCCCCCTCCTCACCCCCCCCATTAGGACCTGGACCTCTCTGGACGTGGATGTCTCCCGGTCATCCACCTCCCGGGCTGGAGTGGTTCCCACATACCAATGCTACAGCCTCCCCACCTGCCTTGGACCCGCCAAACCTCACCAGCCTCTTCCTGGTGTTTGGGAGACATGTCTGAGCCCCGCACGCACCCCGGCCCACCACACGCTGGATGAGGTTCTGGGTGGGGGGGAGTGGGGTGTCCGGGGATGGGAGGGGGCTGCTGGGCTGTTGGCACACTTGGTGATTATTTGAATGGGGTCACACATTATTTATCTGGCCCCTACAGTTTCTGTGTTGCATATTTGTGTTTGAAGCATATTAAAATGAACTTGAGGGACCTTCTGTGATATGCACTTGATGTACCTGTCAGCCTGGCCCTCTCAGGCTTCAGGAAACGGAGGCTGGGGATCCAAGGCAGGGAGCAGGGAGGTGGGCTAGAGTCAGTTGGAAAAGGACACAAAAGACTGAGTACGGTCCCCTCACCACTGATTTTAAATTCAGACCTGAACAGGTGTATGTTTCCACCCCAAAGAGAGCTTGGTGTGTCCTAAATCCTATCAGTTTTATCTGGATCATCACAGACCTTTCTCTCAAGTGACAATGGCCACCATCATGCAGTTCCTTATCACGAACCTTTTCCCCCAACCAGGGGGCTGGGGGACAGGGTGGGGGAACACAGGACCCTGGAGAGCTCTGTAGCTCTCCCTATAACACCCCCAAGTGCAGCCGGGACACCCGTTTCTACCTGAAAGCCCTTGCCCCCACCCCTCACCTGCCTCAGGTTGGCCAGGCCGACCCTGCAGTGTCCACATGGGCCTGCCCCTTCCTGGGGTCACAGGGAGCCCCCCGGCTCGGCCAGCTCCCCGGGGTGGTTTTGCAGGGCATGTGGGAGTGGCAGCTACTCTAGAGAGACCCCAGCAAGCCTGCCCTCCGGGACAGCTGCCGAGCAAGAGACCTCTTGCAGGGGATAAATCAGGAGTCACTTCAGGACGTGAGAGGAACACCACAGTCCCCCTCTGAATCACCCACGCCTCCAGATCGTTGATGATGACTGCTTATTGATTAATGATCTTAATCCTCGTCAACCTGTCCCAAACTGTTGTTTCTTTCGGGGGGGTGTCTTGTGCCCTCCACTTCTATGACAACCACTTCCCCATTGTCCTTCCCCCTCCACATGAAGTAAACAAGGCACCCGTCAGCACCTCCACTTCACAGAAGAGCAGGTTGGTGACTCGCCCGCTGGCACGTGTAGGAAAAGAGGTTAGTGCTGGCTTCCTCTGGTCTGCAGAGAACCGCGTCCCCTCCCGCAGGTAACTTGCAGCAGGCAGAGGAGATCTTTGAAGGCAACTCAGTCACCTCCTCGGTGCCAAGGACCCTGGTACAGCCCACCACCCCATCGCATCTAGAAGGGAGCGGTGGAGGAGGTAAGCACAGGTAGAAACCTCCAAGCTGGATACTTCCCGCCTGCTACTGGAGTTGAAAGCTGGTCTCATGGCTGGTGCCGCATCATGCAACATCAATGTCCGGCCATCAAGCCACGACTCGGGGACCACACCCTGTCATTGCATCCGTGGTCCTCAAGAGTCAGAATTCTGCCCACTGGAGAGTTTGCGCCACAAAATTTAAAAAAACAAAAACACCGCCAAAGGCTAGTAGGCTGTCCTGGTTGTTAAGCCAAAGGGAGTTCATTCACTTAAGTTTGCTAACTTAAGTCGCTTCTCTTAAACGTCCTGAAATAAAAACCTGGGGTTTCTGAGCACCCAGCTCAGTTCTTCCCCCTCAGCACGGAGGGAAGATGCGCTCAGGAGGGACAGGCTCGTTTGCCTCACTGACACATCTCCAAGTTTTGCCAGTGCCAGCACCAAGCGGGGATCGGATGGTGTGCAGCTGTAAGCGGGGACTACCCTGCTGCATGTGACCAAGGGCCCTGCCTGGTGCTCTGCGCCTCCTGCCCAGGGCAGCAGGCCGGCGGCACCCACTCCCAGAGCCCCGAGCAAGCCGTCCCTGCACAGTGGCTGCTGTCTGCAGAGTGCTTTCTTGTTTTAACCGCACCCAAATTAATGTGGCGGGGCCGAGTTGTGGTCCCCCCTCCCCTGCCACACTGTAGAGCGCAGGCACTCAGTAACCTCATTGTTTCAAGGAGCAAAAACTCAAAGCATCCATGGGAAAGTCCAACCTGCATAAGGTCTCTCTTCTGCAGCTCAGTCCCAAGCCACCGGGATTAGGTGCTGACCCAGCTGGCCGAAGAGCTGCCTTCATTAGCAACAGCGGTGCCTGTTTTATTCACTGGGCCTTTACTCACACTGCATTTTATTCAATAGCCGCGTTTCCGGCTCAGTGGGCAGCCAGAGTTTGGTAAAATGAAACTGTTCCCTTTTGAAGAGGGGCGGACAGGGTTACCCACGGTTGACATCCCAACCCACCTGGCTCTATTTGGTGGTCGTGCAAGGCTGGGCTGCAAGAGGCCGCCGTCTCCCAGGTTGTAGCCTGGTGAGGAGCTGCGGAGGATTCCTAGGTGCTGCCGATGCCAAGCTGTCTGGGGGCAGCTTTTGATTCCCCAGAAGTGTTTCATAACCAAATTGCGAGGGGAAGCTTGCTCCCGACTGGAATCGCGTGTCGGGGCTCAGGGTTCCCTAAGAAATGGCTGAGACGGGGCTGGGGGCGCTCCTCGGGCTGCCCGCCCCGCGCCGTGCCGGCCGCTAGGTGGCGCTGCGGCGCCGCGGGAACGGAGCTCCGCCTCGTGCTGGAGGTGGGCTCTTAGCGCACGCGCTCGGGCCGGCCGCGACCTGCCCGCGTGGTCACTCGCCGGGGCCCACACCCCCGCGCTGGGCTCCCCGGCGCCGGCAAGCTGTCAGCAGAACCTCTAACGGGGAGATCGCTCGCGGGGGTCCGCCTGGGGGGGCGACAGAGCGGCCTCCTGCCAGCCCGCGGCCCCGGCCTCACGGCACAGCCCGGCCGCGGAGCGGGGAGGCTGCACACAGTCCAAGCTCTCTGGCGGCCTGGTGTGCCGAGTGGCGGACGGTGAGATGGGGCGGGGCTTGCGGACAGAGTCTCCTCCTGTAAACCTGGTGTGAAGCCGGCCGCAGC